AAATCCCTTCAAAAAGGTTCAATTCAAAAATTCCAACAAGTATGTGCACAACGATAAAGATTCACCAAAGGACTGACTTCCTTCTAGAAGACTTCCTTGACCTTCTTTAGACATGCGCGAATATTGTCATAAACAAATTTTAATTTACTAATTATCTAAAATATTTTAAAAAATGAGACAATAGGAAAAAAAACCACACAAATTTTACCACCATAGAATATCAAACAAAACGGCCTTAAGTCTTTTAATTTCCAAAGAAAAAGAACCCATACTTAACAGGAAATAAATTATAAGCCAATAGATATCCTGGGTTACAAAAATGCACCAATAAGAAACGATCCAATTAACTGCGCTAATCAAATACCCAACTATTATTCATAATATGGATAAATATTGTATTGTCATTAATTGTTAGGGAAATAAATCATTATGGACTGTAATCGTCAAAAAAACACAGTGATTTTTATGCAAAACAAATGACAGTAAATAAACCAAATTAAATCACAAAATGTAAGTATCAACCAACAATAACTAAAAATATCACTGGAAATAAGCATCAATTGAAAAGAAAACATTTAAGTATTTTCCATCACAATCAAATAGGTACATCTTTTTATTATTTTCAGGAACCTAGAGAACACTGTTGTCGATCAAAATCATGGTGCCAAGCGATCGAATTGGAGCATCCATATAAAGGTAGGTAAAGTGACAAATGGCAACTACTGCCTATTAATGTAATATTTCCTGTTTACGCAAAATTTCCATTGATACAATTTTACTTTTCAGGTTAAAATTCACGAACTCCAAAGGAATTTAAAGAATGTATGACGTCACCGCAAAAAAACATATTTATTTATAACTTAAATAAATTTATTAAATATTCTCTATTTACAAACAAACTGGTTGCTTTATTATTTTAATTTTAAAAATCCCAAGATTATATTCATTTTTTTCTCAAAATATTTAATTACTGAAATTTAATTGTTACAAAGTGTATATGCCTTAAAATGCAAGTTTCCGGAGTTCGATTATTATAAAATTTTAAGAAAAGAGCATACTAATCTAGTATTAAAAACAAAAAAACAATATTATCAAAATAAAATATTTAACTCTTCCAATCCAACAAAGACGGCCTGGAATGTTATTAAATCCATAAATAGTAATAATAATTCAAAATCATTTGAAAATGTAAAACTTAATATTAATGACACTGAATAGATGATCCTTTAATTATATCGAATGAATTTAATAAGTATTTTATAAACGCTCCTTTAAATGTACTTAATAAACTTGTCCCCCCTAAAAATTTTAAAGGTAAAATTTTAAATAATATAAATTCATTTTATCTTTTTCCTTTTACTAATTGTGAAATGTTATCAATTCTAAAAAATAAACTTAAATCAAAGAAAACCGCGGGACCGGATGATATTCCTCCTTTTATTTTAAAGTCCATTGCAGAAGAAATATTGTGTCCTCTTGTCTATTTGGTTAACTTATCATTTTCAGCAGGAGATTTCCCAGAGAGACTTAAAGTTAACAAGGTTGTTCCAATTTATAAAAAAAATGATAAACATCATATCGATAACTACAGACCAATATCTATGTCCTGTAGCCTGTCAAAAATCTTTGAATACGCTTTCTTAGAGAGGCTAGGCCCATTTCTTGGTAAGTATAGAATCCTTAGTAATAACCAATTTGGTTTTCGTGCTAATTGCTCTACAGCATCAGCAATAAATGCATTTTATACACACCTGATTGACTCCCTTGAAAAGGGAGAGTGTCCTGCTGGGATATTCTGTGATCTCAGTAAGGCATTTGATTGTGTTGATCATGGTAAACTAATGCATAAAATGGAGAGATATGGTATTAGAGGTCTGGCGTACGGCTGGCTAAATAGTTTTCTAAGTAACCGAATGCAATATGTATCAATTAAACACAATTCTCTACAAAATACAAACACAATTAAATCCAACCTAAGTAGTGTATGCATGGGAGTACCACAGGGTTCAATTCTTGGCCCTGTGCTATTTACACTTTATGTAAATGACTTAGAGCTACACCTGAAGGAAAACTGTTTAACCACGCTATACGCCGATGATACAACACTTGTACTATCAAACAAAAGTAACCATATTCTTGAGATGGAGTGCAACGCAAACCTGGATTTGTTATCGTCCTGGTTTTCCCATAATTCACTTTATCTGAATGCAACCAAGACTAATTACGTGAGATTCTCTACTCAGGGTTATGGGCCTAGTAAATCTCTCAATTTAAGTTTGTCGATTGATGGCCTAGATATATCAAGAAAAGACCACCTTACATTCTTAGGTATTATTCTTGATGAGAAACTAAATTGGAAGCATCATTGTGACTTTTTGATTTCAAAGTTAAGTTCTTTAGTCTATTTATTTAGAAATCTTAGACAAGTATTGGTTTTGGAACAATTACTTTCTTTATATCATGCCCAAGTAGACAGTCGGCTCCGCTATGGTATTTATTTTTGGGGATCATCTACCTGTGCTGAGCATGTATTTATTTCTCAAAAGCGAATTATCAGATGCATAGCTGGGGTTTCACATGATTATTCATGTAGAAATTTATTTAAGAAATTTAATACATTGCCAGTCCCATGCGTTCAAATTTTAGAATTATGTACATACGTATTTTTAAATAAAAGTAAATTTTCAATGAATTGTGATGTCCATAATTTTAATACACGAAATAAAAATGATCTGAGAATACCTTTTAATCAACTAAATTTAGGTAAAAAGTCTCCAAACAGTTTAGGAATACATATATTTAATAGACTTCCTTTGGAAATTAAAAACTCAAAATCAGTTCACATTCTTAAAACACTTTTGAAGTCATATTTGTTGTCCAAATGTTTTTATAGCTTGAATGAATTTCTTATAATTTAGCTAAAGTTGTTAAAATTTATTTATGTACATTATGAACCATTTTGTTATTTCTTATGTATTATGTTTGTCTAATTCAAATTTACCTTGACGTTTTCTACACATGTATATGTCTTCTGAAATAAAGCCTATTATTATTATTATTATTATTATTATTATTATTATTATTATTATTATTATTATGAGGATTTCACAATTTTTATATTAAAAGAAAAATACTATTTGTTTTTGTTTCCTTAATTTATGCACCCGCTGAATGCTTTAACAATTACTTAACGACCCAGGCAACATTTAAATCATTTTTTTCCTTCGATGGAAAATTTAGCTTTACTGATTCTAAAACACATCAGTTATTAAAAAAATGGCTTAAAAAGCTTATTTTCAGCTGGCTTTGTTGTTTAACAAAGTAAATTCAAAAAATTTTATTGTAGAATATCGCTGGGCTGAAATTTGATACAAAAAATCCGGTATTTTTAAGGCACCCGGTATAATAAGAGTGTTCTCAAAATACTAATTAACAATACGTAACTGTGAGCACTAATGGGTTAAGGTCTTGTTGAATCAGTCTATAATCATAGCAAATGTATCTTAAGTGTGATTTTACTAAAGAATTCTAAAGTAAAATCACACTTAAGATATATTTGCTATGATTATAGACTGATTCAACAAGACCTAATGATATGTACATGAGTAATAACGACCGCCCCTAAATCTGTGCATCTATGACTATTGTAATCAATCAAAATCAGTTTAATGTTAACTTAATGTTAATTTGTGTTGCATAATAATATTTACCTACCCCAGTCACAATAAACATTAAAAACACGTAGATAACGTCTTTAAAATTAACATACTATTATATTATAATATATTAAAATGTATTCTAGGACGCTGCACAAATTATAGATACTAATTATTAATTAGAACAAAATCACACTCCCCCAAAAATAAGGAAATAAAACAATAAATCTGCGTGATATTTTAAAAAAATAACAATAAAGTACTTACCAAAAGCAGGACGAATGTTACGAGCACAAAACACGTAAAAAATGCAACTTTTAATAGAAAAATCAAATTGAAAACCGACCTAGCGAACAGCTATGGCAGGCCCAATCACATGATGTGTATTCGGCTAATCAGATTGCTTCCTTCAGTTATGAGTTTTATATGGGTTTGTATAAACGTATTAAGTACGTTTATTTAAAAGTATTAAGTACGTTTGTTTAAACGTATTAAGTACGTTTGTTTAACGTATTTAGTACGCTTGTTTAAACGTTTTAAGTATGTTTGTCCAACATATTAAATTAAGTGCGGTTGTTTAAACGTATTAAGTACGGTATTTACATCTATTACATTTAAATATATGGTTGGCTGAGCACCTTAATACAACGTTATTGTAACGTAAAAGTTAGCCATTATTAAAAATCATATTTAACTTAATGTTGTTTTAACGTTTAAATTAATTTGTGTAAATTTATACCAAAATCAAACCGTTGCTTTTTCAACGTAAAACGTTTTATTTTAAAAGGGCATGTGTTTACCTAGGTGTCCTGGAAACTAAAAACTATGCAGTAGCTTACCGTTGTATTTTTTATTTTAATAAGTTTTATTTTTGTTTGAAATAAATTACTATTTTAAAAGCATACACAAAAACTAATCATTTACATTAAATAACCAACATTTTTATGGTTATTTACTTATACTCAAAAATATGATACTCTTATTTCAAATCACATATAAGTTTACTTGTGTTTATTTAAATTAAATCTATTATGTTTTGTTGAAAACTTCTTTTTTAAATGAATATATTAATTAATATTTAAATACAAGAAAATTCAAATGAAGTAATTATTCTTAATAGTAAACGGTTTGTGTATTATGTGTTCAAAATGGTTCCATAGAGATTTCGAAAACATGCTGATAGATGAAATCAAAGAAAAAATAAAGGGAGGTCAGTGGAACTGTAGTTATTGTAAAATAAACCAGGGATCACCCATCAGCACTGAAAAACTAGACTTAACAGATAACCAACAATTATTAATTATTAGAAATAAAAATACTTTATTAAGAAAACTATTAATAGAAATGGAACAAGCAAAGGAAATATTAATGGATAATAATAATTTACTTAAAAATCAAATAAAGATTTTAGAAGAAAAAGTCAGCTCGTCGAATATAACAAAAAACGTAAACAATCAATCCGATCATTTCACCGAAGTTCAATACATTAACCAACCAAGCACCTCAAATCCACTTTACAGCGAAATACTTCAATCGAATAAAAGAAAAAGTAACGAAATTCCTCAAATTACTATAACAAAAATCCAAGATCCAACAAATTCACCAATCTGCAAAACCCCAAATACTTCCAACACCCCAAACAATCTTCCATTTAAAGAAGTCACGTACAAAAAGAAAAGAATAATCTATATCGGAACATCCACACAAACACCTTCTACTGATGCTTTTGTAGGAAGAGACGAATCAAATAAAAAGGCCTGGCTATTTATTTCAAGAGCAAAAAAAACCGTTTTGCTGAAAACGTTAAAAACTATATTATAAGGGAAACAAAATTAACTGATAGTGATGTAATAACTAAAGAAATAAAAACGCAATATAAACGAAAAGATAGCAAGTGGTTTATGATAGGGGTTAAATTTTCCCATAAAGATATGCTTTATGAAAAAGACTTTTGGCCACAGTTTAAGCCTTTAGAAGATATAAGTTTAACTTCGACAAAAATAGAGATTTACCAGAAAACAAACAAACTACAAACTCTGGCGATTTTTTATCCAAACAAAATCAACAAGATACAAAAAACTAAACACAAAAAAACAAACATCAAAAATCTTACATATAAATATACAATCTGCTTTAGGTTATTTCGAATCTCAAAACCAGGACAGTTAAATTAAATCAACCAAAGCTAATAGACAAAATTATAAACCAACCAACGAAAGAACAACACACAAAAAAGTAACTCAAAGCATAATACATCAAAATCTGCAATCAATTGGAAACTGCGCTGATCAATTACAGCTACTTTTAGAGGACAATCCAGAGTGTATATGCTTCTGTGCCAGTGACCTTTGAAGTCTGAGGAGCAGCTCAAATCTTACAACTTCAGAGATTACAAAATGATCACAAATTTCTGTCGAAATAGTGGCTCACATGAAGGCACTATAATATATTGCAGAAACGGCTTCAAATCAAAATTAAGAAAAGACCTACAAACTGAAGCTGAGCAAAAAACATTTGAATGCTCAGCTGCAGAAGTGTGCGTCGAAAACAATCGATTTATATTAATATGCATCTACAGAACACCGGATTCTGTTATAGAGGTTTTCTTCAAGAAGCTCCAAAGCTTTTTAATAAGGGTAGAGAAGGAAAATTTGACATATATGTAGCTGGGGACTTTAACATATGCATAAAGCAAGAAAACATAGTAAGTAGACAATTTTTAAACCTAATGAATTCTTTTGGGTTAGAGCCCACTATAGAGGAATATACACGTGTAACAGCAACATCCAAAAGCTGCATTGACAATATATTCACCAATATGACTGAATTTACCGCAAATGTTATTGTAAGCCACATCTCAGATCATAGAGCTCAAAGGTTAGTGTTTCACACAACAGCGAAAAAGGAGTACCCCAACTTCAAAAGAATTTTTAGTCTCCAGGCAAAAGAAGCATTCAGAATGAAACTTCAGCAGCAGGATTGGGTCAGTGTATACATGTGTAGTGACAGTGACGTGGAAGGGCAATGGTGTCAATTTGTGAACGTGTTTGTGCCTCTGTTCAATGAATGCTTTCCAAAAGTGCGGGTCATAAAAAGAAAGAAAAAAATCTACAAACAAACAAAATGCATTCAACAATGTAAACGTAATCTTGGTATTCTATATATCATGAAAAGTTGTGATAGTACCTTTAATCAAGCTTATCAAGGGGTCAAAAAACAATATGATAAATTATTAAGAGGTGCTAGATATTAGGAATATTCAAACAAAATTCTAGAGTCTGATAATAAACCAAAGACCATATGGAATATTGTAAAGGAAATCAAAGGTAACAAAACAAACCGTGATTTGCATATTCCAGGTGATCCTTTAGAAGTAGCAAATGATATTAATACACGAATTCTTTAATATTAATTTTAACATGTAATTATTGTGCTACATATTTTCTTTATATATAAATACATGACATGTCAAAAATATACTTCAAATAAGTATCATCTAATAATAAAACAAATATATATATATATATATATATATATATATATATATATTTGTTTTATTATTAGATGATACTTATTTGAAGTATATTTTTGACATGTCATGTATTTTTTGATGATAATAAAGTATTTTTATTTTTATTGTTATCTTTATAAATAATGCATGTATATGTAGAGATTTTTAATATCATAACAAAGCTTAAAAATAAAACTAGCTGTGGGTTGGACGAAATTCCTCGTACAATTTTAAAATATTGTATGTCTGAGCTATGTTATCCTGTGTGTCATATTGTAAATAACTCGCTAACATTTGGAATATTTCCCAATTACTTAAAAACTGCATTAATTAAGCCAATTTACAAAAAAGGTGATGCTTCACTTATTGAAAACTATAGGCCTATTAGCTTGCTATCAAGCTTTTCAAAAATATTTGAAATAGCTATGTGTAATAGATTAGTAGACTTTTTTAACCAGTATAATTTGTTTAACAAACATCAGCATGGGTACATAAAGGGCAGAACAACTGAAACTGCTATTTATGAATTTGCAAAGCAGGTGTTAAAAAGTAACAACAAAAGGAAAACAAAGTTCTTTAGGATTTATTTTAAGACCTAAGTAAGTCCTTTGATTGTTTAAACTATGACATATTGTTCCAAAAACTTAAAAAGTATGGTGTTCGCGGTATTGCATTGAAATGGTTTCAATCATACTTATCGAATAAAAAGCAAAGAGTGCAAATTTGTATAAATAACCAAAAGTTTACTTCAGATGACCTCAATATATCCCTGGGAATTCCTCATGGTAGCGTAATAGGTCCAATCTTATTTATTATATATGTGAATGATCTCTATATATGTCTACCTGCGAACTCTAGTCAATGTATTGTAAGCTATGCTGATGATACTAACATTTTAATAAAATCAAATTCTGTAAAAACGTACTTAGCCAAGGTCATAATGTTATGTCAGGTATATGTAGATGGTTTTCCAATAATACATTAATTTTAAACGAAACAAAAACGAATTGTATATTGTTTAAAACAATGTTGTCAAACCAGATGAATATAGAGATAATTATACTAAATAATACAATTATTAAAACGTCATATGACACTAAATTCCTTGGTCTTACGATTGATCAACACCTAAACTGGTCAAAACATCTACAGAGCCTGGCTAGTAAATTAAATAATATTCACTACACAATCAGAGTAATAAAAAAATATGTTAAAATCCCAACTATCAAAATGATGTATTACGCATATTTTGAATCTAGATTAAGGTATGGCATAATATTTTGGGGACAAGGCCCAACTGTTCAAGACTATGTTTAATATAAATTTTAAAGAATCTTGTTGAAATGTTTTTAAACAACAAAAAATTTTAACTGTGATTGGTCTTTATGTTTTTGAATTTAGTATTTATGTTTAAAAATAGACATTTATTCTCTAATTTGTACATGTCTTCGCAACGTACCCAAAATCTAATATTTCCACGCCACCGTTTGAGTTAGTATGAGAAAGGTTGTTACTACGCATGTATGAAATGTTTTAATCATTTGCCAAAATATCTTCAGATTGAAACAAAATTGTCAATATTTAAAAAAAAGCTTAAAGATATGTTAATATATATAGAACCATATAGTTTAGAAGAATTTCAAAATAAATCAATAAATAAATGATACAATTTTTAGTTTATCAATGCATTTATCCTTTGCTTTTGAGATTTTTTCCATAATTGTATATGTGTGTAAACTGTAAACAATTATTTAAAAATAAATTATTATTATTATTATTATTATTATTATTATTATTATTTAATATTCCATACTATAAAAATTAGACTATACTTATTTCAAATATACAAATCCAAAACAATCGTTATTTTAAAATTAAAGAATTATTTTTGTGTGCAGTTCTGTTTGTTTTCAATAAATTACTTATTACATATTGTTCTGTTGATTTTGATGGAATATGTAGGTACTCTAGGGTGTCCGTTATTTACCAACTTGTTTTTTTTGTTCGCAGCGGCCCCTAAATTTTTAGTTTATGACCTAAAACATATTATAAAAAAATATCCATATTATACCTTGCCACTAAGGCGATACATTTTCCATTTAAATAAAATGGGGTTTCGGCAAGTTTTACATTTATTTATTTTTCTCCCGAACAAGTTAATATACTTATATAAAATATTGTATGTATACAGCAATAAGTGCATATTTGTATAGGAAATTGAACGCTGTAGCGCGCTGTACAAAAAAAGCTCTCTTGAAATCTCATGTAATAAAAAAAATTAAATTTATCGGAATCTCTTGTTAATAATTTTCACTTATCTCTTTTCAATAATTTTTATTTTTTCAATAATACAATAAAATCACATATTTTCAAAAATAAACAATTCATTTTTATAAAAATAATTATAATTTTGCAGCCAAAGTAAAAAAATCGAAAAAATTATGTACTATAAGTTTAACTTTAACCTTAAATAACTTTTATCTACGCCAGTGGGATAAGAACTTCTTATCCCACTCATTTTGAGTGAGATAAGAAGTTCATTAACGCACGCGTTTTTCTCTGCTTTTAACCAATCAAATAAAAAAGTCAAAATGTCAAAATAACCCTAAATTAAGTCTTAGACAAAAATAATTACCGTTTATTTTTTCATTTAGAGGCGTAGATAAAAATTTGTACAATATACGTGTGATAACGCTTTATTAACGTACTTTTGCGATTGCCCAACGAGTGCTACGCACTCGTTGGGCAAATTTCGCATGCGTACGTTAATAAAGCTCTTATCCCACTTATATAGTAAATAACTATTAAATCAGTGAATTTATCAAAAAATCATAGGAAAGCTTTTTTTTGTACAGCGCGCTGCAGCGTTTAATTTCCTATAAAAATATGTTTCTTATTATTTAAATGGGAAATCTATCGTCTTTGTGGTAAGGTTGAATATGAATATTAAGGGCTTATATGAGTCTGATATTTTTTTTAGGTCATAAACTAAATATTTAGGGGGCGCTGCGAAAAAAAAAACAAGTTTGAAAATAACGGACACCCTGATGTACTCAAGCATTGTCCACTCCAATAATAATTATAATCCATAACTTTGGTTGCAAAACAATGTAATACAATAGGCGATCAGATCGGCCTCCTGACGTCACCGTTTCGATGCAGGAGTGGGGGCTACTCTTTCGCCTGGTATAGACAACGCCGTGCTTGTACCCTTTTTTTTCTTACCCCTTCATATATTATATAGTACTAATAATCTTACCTTGTATGTTATCAGGATCTGTTGGTTTGTATCTATAAGCATTAGTATCAAACTGATAGACAGTCCCTGCCACAGTTTTTGTATTTATAAGATTCAGGTAATAAAGTACATCTGGATTTATTAAAAGTTTTGCTGTTTTTAGAACATCATTTACTCCATTTATTACTTCATTTAAAATGTCGAAAATAATAAAAGCCTCAATATGTTTATGAAATACTATAAATATTAATACAAACGTTATTGTTTTGGAAAACATTTTAATAAATTGTTGGCAATATTTTTACCGTGGCCTTTTATTGTATTTTTTAGTCTCTAATTTAAATACTTAAAGATAACAGTATCAATTTTAAAAACAGTTTGTTTTGCTATGATAAAGTTATTTCCGACAAACAAAACATATTTTTTAAATAATGTTTATCACTTTGATTTGGATTTAAATTAAGTCTGGTCGAAATTAAACAAAAAAAAATTAGGTGCTTTTGTAATTTTTTTATGTCCTGCAGCATTTTTATTTTACATAAAAGTCAAATAAAAATATCAACTTGCCAAAAATTTCGTGAAATAGAGTTAAATACACCAAAGCATTTTAAAACCATTAAAAATGCCAATGAATTTGGTCCACAAAATGCTCTAAATTTTAGTATATTGTATTTTGCAAATAGCTAGCAAAAAAAAAACATTAAAGCATACAATGCCAACATGCTGCAAATGTTTTGGAAAAACGAATCAGCCAAGTTTTTTTAGGCAATTGTGGCCCTTAAGATTATATTTATGAATCTACTTTCACTTCAAGTTTTGATTTTTAAATGGAACAGGGTGTTATATTATACCACAATAAAAATATAAATATTTTTTTTAGTTTTTTATATAGAAAATGGTGTTTTTTAAACATATCTATGATGAAAAATGACGATTTTTTGGCGGATTGAATGTTGGGAAATTCTGATTACTGAATCGAATTTTTTACCAAAGTACAGAGATAAAAAAAAATCTGATATTTAAGGTGAAAAGGGCTGGTACCTACATAATTTTTTTTATATAGAATCTACTTTCACTTCAAGTTTTGATTTTTAAATGGAACAGGGTGTTATATTATACTACAATAAAAATATAAATATTTTGTTTAGTTTTTTATATAGAAAATGGTGTTTTTTAAACATATCTATGATGAAAAATGGCGATTTTTTGGCGGATTGAATGTTGGGAAATTCTGATTACTGAATCGAATTTTTTACCAAAGTACAGAGATAAAAAAATCTGATATTTAAGGTAAAAAAGGGCTGGTACCTACATAATTTTTTTGTATATAGAACGCCTAAGATGAAACTTTACAATTAAGTAGGTACCTACTTATTATAAGAATTATGGAACAACAAAAATTATTATGATTTTTTCTTAGAACTTAATAAGTATGGCTTAAATTGGGCACCGTTTTGTTCAATGCAGGCTGAACATCTTTTGATTACTGTATACAGTTCTTAAAGTTACCAATATATTGATCACTTTAAGAATTGTTTATTTTGGAATGTTAATGATTTTATTTTGGATTCGATCCTTTCAGTCTTTCAAGTTTTCTGGCCGAGTAATAAAAACATTTAAATACGCCCATTAAAAAATCGCATGGGTTCATATACGGTGATCTGTCTAATGGGTTAAGTACCCATCCATTCTTCAAAATGAACGTTTAAATAATCGGTATTGATTCGAGCATAGTGGGTAGGCGTACCACCTTAGTGAAATATATTTTTTGTATACTCATTAACTGGCAGATCTTCCAAAAAGATTCATATATGAGTGAGCGGTCAAATTTTCGTCCTTGAAGATAGATCCAATAATTCGGTCCTTTAAAACTCCACACCAGACATTTGTTATAAAACTTTTTTAAAAATGTTTCTCTTATGAAGGTTTCTATTAAATATTCAATATTTCCGAACGTACATTCATCAAAATACAAAATTTTATTTTTTAATACGGGATCTTTCAAATATACTTCATTGAAAAATATATTTTTAAGTACTCTAAGAGAGATTTTTTTATTAAAAAAATGGTGTTTTTTAAATCACTCTATAATGAAAAATGTCGATTTTATTGCGGATTGTATGTTGGGGAATTCTGATAACTAAATAGAAATTTAGAAAGACCAGAAACCAAAAATAAAAATCTGATATTAAAAATACATTCTTTATTAGGAAACCATCAGTAGAACAACAAGAATTATTATTATAACTTTATAAATAAATATAAATTGCGCATTGTTTTGTTCAATGCGGGCTGATCATCTTTTGATTACTGTATTGGTCACTTTGAGAATTGTTTCTTTTGGAATGTTAGTGATTTTATTTTGTATTCGATCCTTTAAGTCTACCAAGTTCTCTGGAGGAGTATTACAAACTTAATCTTATAAATATAAAAGAGTTATTAGGAGTTATATATTATGTATACAAAGAACACTATCAACAAATGGATGTAGATAAAATATGATATATCTATTATAATATAACTACAACTACAACTTTTAAAAGAATAATAATACTTCAAGTTTTATATCTTCATTAAAATACCTAGCATTTGAAAAGTCCAATGGACTTCATGGACATGCGCTATAGTAAAATCGCGATAAATTTTTTTTTGGTATTGCCTATGTCCCTGACGGTCATTCGAAAGTCCAAATGCTCGGTAGGAACAAATAGATTACTTGTATGTATTTTTAGGTTATTTTTTTAATATTTCAAGTGAAGATATAAATCTTCACTTGAAATTAATATTCTATATTAATATTCTACTAAAAGTTATAGTTTAAAACCCGAGATTTGAACCCCCGCACGGGTCTGCATATTCCAAAACAAAAACAAAATCTGTTTGCCAATCACCAAAAACAAAATATCAAGCAACATATTTAAATCGTTTAAAAATTTAAGTTATACTGGGTATTATGTTATTTGGTAGTAGGTCTAAATAATTTTCATAGTTATGTGTTTTGTCAGTAAAAAAGGGATCCACAGTTCAGGTACCCACAATTCCGGCCCATACGTTTACTACTCTGGGGGAATTGTGTATGACTTTTCATACTCCACAATATCGACAATTTTGATTGTTTACCGAACCATTTAAACAAAATGTTTTCCTCGTCGGAAAAAAATTATCCTACTTCATGAACCTGAAAGAGTCCAATTACAAGGAGCCATCTGCGATATTCAGATAATTGTTTTAATATTTGCACGAAGCTATTAGCGTAAATAAGAATACACCAAGTTAATGGATGGGTTTATACGTTCCCAAGTGATAAATCCGTATAAATCAACAAGAAAGAATAAAAGAGTTTAACAGGGTTAACGAACCCTACATTAAATAGACCAAAGATACCGAATGCACAGGCAGTTCGACTAGTCGAACTTGGTAGTACTTAACCCTAGAACCACACGGATAAAATAATGAATCAGAACAGCTGAAATTTATCTTTTTGGAAATCACCAAAATTGTGGTTTACGATATTTATAAAATAAACTGGCACAATTGCATTTAAGGTAGTTGTCGTGCTGTAAGCATACCATCAGAAAATTTAAAATTTTTGTATACTTATTAAGGACATGACAATACATATATCCTTAAAATTTGAAGTCGATTGACCGTCGATTAAAATTGGATAATTAACATGGATTGTATAGGCTTTCTGTAGTTCTGTACCAGTTTCTTAGTTATACAGAAAAAACTAACTGTCATAAGCTTTCAAAAAACTAACAGTGTTTTAATGTATTTTTGCTGAGTTTAAAAAAAAATAATTAAAAATTTTTGACCGTCCAATTGTTTATAAATAACCGTTTAAAGTTCAACAATTTGTAAAAAGTATACATCACTAGTGTCGGATAAAAACAACTTGGCAAGGCTTTACGCGAGTATAGATATTATTTCCGCAGTAAATTTAAACGGACTGATTCAGTCTCCAATATATCTATTGGTTGAGCATAAGCGACGTTGCCGGATTAAAACTTATGAAAATATTTGAAAGTATTACGTAAAGGTAACGTCTCCAGGGTACAGTCTTGCGAACAAATTATGAATCACTTAGCTATAAGCTCGTATACTTTTACGGTGCGTATAATCTAAAAATTTTTGACAATATTGTACCACGACAACTACCTTAAAGCGCCCAATCTGCATCAAACAGAGTCAGGGGCGGTCACGTGGCAGTAAGGGGGCGGAGTCTCTATAACGTGTTTTGTTTTACCCAGTTTAACTTAAAATATTACTTTCTTTGGGACATATAATCTTTGCCCACCTTTTACTTAAATTTATGATTTTTTTCTAGGGATCTGGCCAAATTGGCTGGTGTCTAGAATATCGAATCCTTGAACCCGCGATGTCTAAATTTTTGTGGTGAAGTTGGGCTGTGTGGGTCACCTTTCTATCGTGACGGGTGGACTTTTTTCTGGACGTAGGGGTTTTGGCTATTTTCATCGGGGTGACATTCTCTACCGCTCCCGTAGCCGAAGCCAGTGGATGTCTCCTCGATTTTGGCGTTCCGGTGCAATCGCAACTTGTGCAGTGAGCATGACAAACCTCATAATCTTTACAAAACATCTCAAGAGGCTTGAGTCTATTGCTAAGGAGATGCTTCAGCGCCACCAGTAACTCATTTTTATCTTGGATTCTCATAAGAAAGCTGGAGGAAAGTAAACTGATGATGTACGATCTCCCGTAATCTACTTCGATAATTTATTAGGGGAGCTCTTCTTGCTCTTATTTTACTTTTTTGCTCAGATGTGGTGAACTCCCAATACCACCTTGCCCAGCACATTTTATAGGTTTAACCATATATAAGATTTTGATTGATTTATTGAATCTCTTTGGCCAAATATTTTAGTATTTTTACCATGCAATTTATTTTTAATTATTATTTATATAAATATATTGTCAGATTATTCAAAATTTAAGACCCAATAACAACAAAAAATGTTACATATATTCATATTCAATAATATTTAAAATAATTTGACCTATTTGTGTGTTTTTTTTCAGGTGGTAAAGATGATGATTGTAGTGGTGATTATCTTTGCAGTCTGTTGGTTACCCTATCACCTCTACTTCATAGTGACGTCCTACTTTCCGGAAATAACAAACTCAAAGTACATCCAAGAGACCTACCTGGCCATTTACTGGCTCGCCATGAGCAATTCCATGTACAATCCCATCATATACTGCTGGATGAACGCCAAGTAAATACCAAACTTTTATTTTTTCCTTTATTTATTTATTAACTCTCCAGTACAACTTTTTCTTTGAATCGGTTGTATTTATGCAACCCGCTGCTTTAAGAACCCGCCAAAGGGATACGAAAAACATAAAACTTTACTCGCTATTTGTTTTTTTTCCAATTAATAAAGGGGCATGATCTAGAATAGCGTAAACCAATATTGCAATATTGCATGCCACAGAGAGGATATGCAACGTACTAAATATTGCTTCAAATCCAAATACAGATTAAAAAACTGGTTTATTAAATAATTGTTATTTATTTATTTATAACGTAATTTTATTTTAGTATCGTAAATGGTCTTTTTTATATTAATGTTCCATTGGTTAATAATAAAGAAGTAATTTTGTATTATATTTTTAAATAACAAAAATTTCTCTTTTTTTGAGGTGGTCCAAAAGTAATAGGACACATAGCAATAGCTATACCTACTAGTTAAATTAAAACTTTGGACAAATTGGTATTCCTCGCCTTAAAAAATTCCTAATTTTATACCGCTGTAAAGTATCGTTGAGAAATTATTAAAAAAAATCAAAAACAAAATTAAAACTTTGACACCCCTTATCTTGGTTATTATCAACTTTTGGATGGGGCAAGTTTAAATAAATCCGATTGTTTGGAATTAAAGAGTCTGCACCTACTCTGTGTCCCATTACTTTTGAAATACCCTGGGTTTATTCGGCTACATCAAATTCATATTAAAGACGCCTTAAACAGCTAAAATAAAAAAGAATAAATTAATATATTGCTCGACCTACGTCCGACCCGCCATTTTTTTTTCTATCGTGTAATATAACAATAATAATAAGATGACGTACGTCTTTTTCAGTATTTTCTAAAACCTGGCTGTTGACCCAGCACTTATTAGCTTCGGGCTTTCTTAGTTTGGCTAAATTTTTATGCATTTAACGAATTTTAGACATCAACGGGCACCAGCCCAATTTTCAATTTTTCGGCACACTGTTTCGCACTGTTATGGAGAAATTTGCTGGCGCACTATCTTGAATAAAGAACATATTGTCCCTGATGTTTAGTGGTACATCCCCCATGAAGATTATCCCTGTATCTTGGTTATCATCAACTTTTGGATAAGCCAAGTTTAAATAAATCCGATTGTTTGGACTTTTGTTTGGCTATTTAAAAGTAATGGAGAAGACAAGTGTCACTTACAATGTAGGTATTTTAAAATGCATTTTATATGTATGAGTATGAGTATGGGAACGTATGGCAGGCCCCATCGACATTACCTTACGTATCCCGCCATTGCACAGCATTACCTGTGTTTGTTGGATCCGAAGTTTTTACGCCGGCTGGTAGATCTACCCTAGGAGGTCGTGGGTTACAGTGTCGATGGTTAAGGCCTCTCCTGGATTTTTGTCGCCGGGTCGGACCATATGCCCAGTTTAGGCTAGTGGAGAGCAGGACAAGAAGGGTAAATTGTTTTTTGGAGGACATTGAACTGACTCAAAACTAAGTACAATCCGGAATCCTCCTCAACTGGGGCTTCAGTAATAACCCCATTCAATTGGGATTCATGAATGGGGGTAGAAGTGTTAGTACGCTGCTAGAACCTGTCCTTGTTGGAGTTCTTCTGAAGGTCTCTGTCCGAGTCGGTTTCCGGTTCCTGGTAACCTCTTTAGAATTGTTTGCCCCCCTGTGAGATACTGAATCTTGTCTTCAGTACCGAAGTGTTGACGGTCACGACCAGCCGTAAGTGCCCTCTATTCTTTATTTATTTTATTGTTAAATTAGTGTTTATACCTTTTACCATTTAATTTATCTTTGTGTTCTTACAAATTTAATTTAAAAATTAATATAAATATTAATATACAAAATAGATAAAGCCGGCCTTGAAGTGTACGTAATAATTGGAATACGTCGCTCTTCTTATATTCTGTGATGTTATGTTGTTTACTTTTTAGGCTTTGATTTATGGTCTCTTAGTTAATGCTTATATTTAAATGCATATACATACAATATATACACCTATTACAGACACACAACACTTATTTATTAAATCCATATTTTGTGACGTTCCTGCTTGAATTGGTTTATTTACTCTTACGCCTTTTTCTATTTGGTTAAGTTGATTTATAGGTTGGCTACACTGAGAAAAATGAGGTTGTTAGTTTTACACTTACGAAAATGTTATTCTTATTTGTTAAATTAAAAATTATTTTTTTGAAACAAATAAAAAAGAAATCTTAAACAAACAATCAGAGATTGTTATACAAGAGTGCTTATATTAAAGATTTTATTGAAATCTTTGTACATTTTTGTAGTAATAAAATGTATATTCAAAAACTTTACGAGTTTAATATAAAAAACTGTAGGTAATATTTCGAGACTTTTAAATAAAACAATTATGCGCATTGGTCGTATTGAATGTGCAAAAACTGTTCACTTAATAATTAAAACTTGAAATAGAGTTTACTTTTCTCAATGTACAAGTCCCTAGTTTATTTTCTGCAGCCAGATGGCATTCTTGGTAATCGAATTGCGGAGTTTGCTTATATAAGTTTTTAACGATTAGTTTATAGATTAGAATCGAATTGGTATTGTTGGTAGGTCATGCAATTAGGAAAATTACTTAGCTGGACTAATTAGACTTGAACTTCTGTTTCCCAGTCCCTAGCGGACAGTCTGTGTTCCTTAGCAATCGCCGATTGTGGTGATTATACAGGTAGTCAGGTAGCTTATCGGTGTGACCTAACCTTAATCGACGTTATAGCACTTTGTGACTTAATATTATTTATTTTTTATATTTATTTAATTTCTATTTTTTGTTTTCCGTTTTACTGAATTCGATTCACTTGTCTCCGATAACTTGCCGGATTATCAGATTCGTTATTAGGACTTGCGTTTGTATCGGTTACACTGCTTAGGATCGCTCGAACTATAGGCCGTAGCCCAACCACTCGCCTCAAGAGGAAGAACGAGACTGTGGTATTTTTAAATGCATTTTATTTTATATTTATTTATTGCGGCTTTTTAGGGTTTTATATGAAGTATTCTTGTTAAAAATAACATTAACCCGTAACTGGTGAGATTTTTGTTACATAACTGGTGAGGTAGGGTTTACCAAACCCCAAATGAAAACGAGGATTCTGCGAAATTAAAATAAAAAAATGCGAATGTTATTTAATTTTGGGTAACCTTTATTGATTATAATGCGTACAATGTACATACTATTAACAAAAATTTTAGCAATAATTTAATTTTACTGTGGGACAGAAAATCACTTCAAAACCTATTTTTAGTTGCTATAAGTAATCAAACTGAAAATATAGAATAAAAAAACTACAAACTTCTTAAATTCGTTAAAAAACATACAAAGGAGCAAAGTTTTAACAAAATCGTATTTATAGTAAACTCTAGTAAAAAAAACTGGTGAGGTGAGGTTTCATACAAAAATCGTAATATCGTACACCAAGTAAAATATCGGGCTTTTTTGACACCGGTAGAGTACTGACGGACAACTGACCGAAAGCTACACAGGGGGTTACCCCTGGGGGTAGCGAACCTTGCACCATTATTTAATACGTGGTCTTAGAATGGGTGGGGTTTGGGAAACCCCACCTCACCAGTTACGGGTTAAATTTGCAAAGTATAAACGTAATAAAGGGTGGTAACGGAAAGGTCAATAAACATTGTTAAATTGTAGAGAATGTGTTCTTTATTAACCACAAGATTTTTTTTAAAAAAGGTTCCAACGTTTACTTTAGAAATAGAAATAGATGTCGGGGCAATTTTTGAAGTAACAGTTTTTTTTAATATCACAACTGCGTATTTTTTTTTCTTTTGAATTTTAAGGTACAGCCTACATACTTATATATTTTGTTCTCAGTCCAGAGTAAATTTTAAAATGGTAATTTAAATCATTTCAATTAAAACTTAAAAAATTCACTCGGCTACATTTGTAGTAATTAGATAGGTACATTTCTTGTACCCGAGTAAATTATTTAGAGCTTTCCTTTTTAAAAACAAGTTTCGAAACGAATTGACAAAAATCTTTTAACATAGCTTTATTTACTAAATAAATATAATACAGGAGTAAAAACATTACGTAAACTGTGCTAGTTGGGAACTATGCCTATGGGGTTGTATGTAAAGCCCCTTTATATAACATATTATTATATGTTAAAAGAATAATAAAAAGAATAATTTTTGTTTGTGTTTTCGTAAAAAAAGAATAGGTATTCTTGTCTACAACTTTACATTTTATAAATATTTAATATAGTTTCACTTTTTTTTTGAATAGTCGTATTTATTTATTTGTCTAGAAACTGGAGTAGAGTCTACTAAAAACATTTACAAAGTTTTAGAAAGATTGACCGTCTGGTTTTCGAGTAAAAAATTATTAAAGTTGCTAAGACCACAGGGGATGTTATCGTTTATTATTGCTAAACTTGTAAATATTAACACAAATTTATATGCCAAATTGGCATTGCCAATTCCAGATATAAGTGCGAGAAAAAAATCATCGATTTCTTATTTTTATGTTATAATATATGCGTTAGATAATAGTTATTTAAGATATAAGTGGGATAAGAGCTTTATTAACGTACGCATGCGAAATTTGCCCAACGAGTGCGTAGCACGAGTTGGGCAATCGCAAAAGTACGTTAATAAAGCGTTATCACACGTATATTGTACAAATTTTTATCTACGCCTCTAAATGAAAAAATAAACGGTAATTATTTTTGTCTAAGACTTAATTTAGGGTTATTTTGACATTTTGACATTTTGACTTTTTTATTTGATTGGTTAAAAGCAGAGAAAAACGCGTGCGTTAATGAACTTCTTATCTCACTCAAAATGAGTGGGATAAGAATTTCTTATCTCACTGGCGTAGATAAATAATCTTTCTCTACGACTACTTAAGAATAGTAACATTCTAGTGTAATTTTTGATCATAGAAAGGATGTTTTTCTGCAATACTGTGCGAGAATATTCCTACTC